TGGTCGTGGGGCGACAACGTCGTGGTCAGCGTGCTCGGCAACATCGGGAACATGACCGTGCGCGCGCCGCTGCGCCGCACCGGCGTGCTCGCCATGGCGTCCGCCGCGCTGAAGAGGTACAACATCACGGCGGTGACGTCGCTGAGCATGTTCATGTTCATGTTCTACACTATCGTGAGTACCATCTCTCCCCTTCGTTTATTTAGAGATAGTAGTTTGCAATGCAAGCGGCTATATATGTATAGATCCACAAGAATGGGAGCACTGGATCTTGGCTATGGTGGTGCATGTGTTTTATAAATAGCGGATAGCGCGGACTTGCCATAACTAGGTTGTTGCTCACGAAACGGCTTACTAGAAATGAAAGTGTCGGAATCTTGGAGCCTACGTAATGTAGGTTGTCATTATGCATATTTTAAATTATAGCGATTGTCCTCGTATCGGAGCTAGTCTTCTTATTATCTGATAACTTATTGTCGTTATTCCGTAACGTATAGAGTAGACTTGTCATACTTATGATGTTGCCCGCAAAATGGCTTACTATAAATGGATAAGAGCTGAATCTTGCAGTCTACGTAATATAGGTTGTCGTTATGCATATATTTAATTATAGCAATTCTCTTCGTATCAGATCTAGTTTTCTATTTTTTTATAACTTATTATCGTTATTCCGTAACGAATAGATTGGACTTTCCATAATTAGGTTCTTGCTCGAAAAATGGTTCATTTGATATATAAGAATATGAGGATCTTGGAGTTCATGATGCATATATTTAGCTATGTGTTTGTACTTGAGTCATAAATAGTTTTCTAATCATCCAAGAGCCTCCCTTATATAGGGGTGAACCCGAAATATGATTAGATGGAAGACTCATCTCCTTCCTCCTTCAGCAACACTCTTCCCACCCCCTTTTTCTGTTTTCCTTTCCTTCTCTCATTTTATCAATAGTGATACAATGGGATAGGGGTGACTCTCTTCCCCCTGCGCCCTCAGAGCATCTCCAGTAATAGCTCCTATTTTACAGCCCCTAAAAATTTAATGGGGGCTTCCCCCATATTCTAAGTACCTAAAAAATACCTTTAACTCTAGCAGCAGTCCCTTTTATCGCCCCTTATTTCATTTCATCTTCTATTTTAACATATACTTTAAAGTTCAAATCTATAGTTCTATACTCTACGCTACTCCTAGTATAAAACCATAATAATCCAACCATATTTAAATTCACAATTCAAATTCGATTCTTTTAAAAAAAATAAAATGGAAATACAAATCCTAGTAGCATGTATTCATAGCTCGGGTGAAACGAGCTTCTGCTGCTGTGGCGCTTCCATGCATTTTCTCACATGTGTTGATTTTTCCCGTCTTCTCATCCACCAATAGACCAGCTACTTCTCTCACGAAGCAACAACCAAGCAAAGCAACAAAAAAGCTGCATAGCACATCGCATGTATCACTTTCCCCATTCTTCCAAGTCCCACAATCGCAGCTGCTAGTGCTACCCTGCTACTACTTTCTCAATTTCGCAGCCTGCAACAACACTTGAATCATCCAGTGCCTCGACGCCATCGCATGACTCGGCCACTGGGCCATGTTTTTCATCGAGTTCAGGCAGAGGGTGCAGGCTAGAGGAGACTCCAGGTACAGCAGACGCGTCGGCCGGGAAGGAGCGTCGGGTAGAGGAATGCACCTGAGGGATGACACAGTAGGCAGGGAGGAGCCGCACCGGCTAGGGATGAGCACTGGGCGGGGGAGGTGCCGGCGGACCAAGACCATTTTGTTGATGAAGAAATGACAAAAATAACAGTTTTAGATCTTGATGAGTTATACAATTTTGTTGTTGATGACTTTTTTTAGTTGAAATCATTTAGTATTTGAAAATGTTGTTTGAAGTTGTCATATTTTCAAATTTAAATACAAACTGTTCAAAAAATGTTATATAGAAAAATAACCAAACTAAAAGTTATAGATATTGATGAGATATACGACTTTGTTGTTGATGATTTTTTCAGTTGAAATCATTTAGTATTTGAAAATATTGTTTGAAGTTGTCATATTTTCAAATTTAAATTCAAACTGTTCGAAAAATATTATATAAAAAAATGACCAAACTAAAATTGTAAATCTTGGTAAGTTATACAACTTTGTTGTTGATAATTTTTCCATTTGAAATCATTTACTACCCGTAAAATTATTTTAACTCATAAAATGAATTATTATACTGCGGTTAATTATTTCGCTATAGTTCAACTTACAAATATGAACATTTCATATAAAAATAGAAAAATACTCATCAGTGACGGGCTTTAGTATGCCCGATAGAGATTAAGTCATCTCAATCGGGTATTAGTATATAGCCCGTCACTAATGAGTCATCTGTGACGGGCCTAGTTGTTATCTCAATCGGGCCCCAACTAGAGCACGTCACGGATGACACTCATCTTAATCGGATCTAAACTATAGCCCGTCACAGATGACTCTTATCTGTGACGGGCTATAGTTAATGCCCATCACAGATTATGGTCATCTGTGATGGGCCCCAACTTGAGGCCCGTTTGAGATATAGAATGTTATCTCAATCGGGCCTAAACTACGGCCTGTCACTGATAGGTGTCGTCCGTGACGGGTCTAAGTTTTGAGCCCATCTAACATGTCTGTGCAATCATATCTCAATCGAGCACTTTTTCGCCCCGATTGAGATGACTTCCTTGTGACGGCCCGCTATTTCCAGACATATTAGAGGCCGTCACAGATGGAAGGATCTGAGTGTACAGCATTGCCAGCCACCGCACCCGCAGCTGCCGAAACGCACCGAACAGCCACCTCCGCCCGCCGGCGCCGCAGCCGAGCCTCGCACGGTCACACGGCGGCTACACTCGAGGGAGTGGCGCTGGCAGCAGTGGCTTCTGCTGCGCTCGGAGGAAACGACTGCTGCTGCTGCGCTCGGAGAGAGCGGCGGCTGCTCTGCTGCTCTCTGCTGCTGCGCTTGAGAGAGCGGCGGCGGCTGCTGCTACCCTCGGAGACCACCATCGTTGCAGCTTGCTCGTCCAGCATCCAAGCCTAGCATCCATCCCCACCTCTCTTTTGACTGCTGCTACCAGGAAAGACTTGCTTGTATGTGTTGTCCGTCTTCACAAGGTGTTGGACAAACTTGATGTTGGCTATGAATATCGGTTGGATTTGGCTATATCTGTGCTTTTGATTCATTGTATGTAATATATGTGCTTTTGCCTCATCTTCCTGTTCTTCCTCTCGCTAACCGGTACCAGCGGCGCCCCCACCTCCACCACCGCCCTGGCCGGCCGCCACGCCACCCGGAACAGCTTGACTCTCCGTGCGCCGGCGTGGCCGGCCGTGTGCTTCAAATCCACCATGTGCTTCTCCTCTCTTGCTCTCTGCTTGGCGATGAGAATGTAAGATGTGTTTAAGCCCGTGATTAGTGAAGACTAACTAATCTGAGCCAAGGGCAACCTGGTCTTTAATGGTCGTTTCTCTCTCCTAATCCTCCCAAAATAATAAAATAATCCCACCTACTTTTTACAAGTCCAACAGCTAATTACCAGATTTTTACGATGCCCTACAGCAAATACGTTCTTACGATGTCTCCTAGCTAATTACACGTTTTTCTAATATCCTGTAGAAAATTTTGCCATTATTATATCGGGATCATTTCTTCCAACAGACAAACCAACACGATCCATCCACAACCTACTTATAGTTAATTAGATGTACCTATGATACCCAAACGTGTGCATGGACGTACATGCAATTATAATCTTATCTATGCATAATTATTTTTATGATACTTAAGTATATGATAATTATTTGAAAGTACAAATAAATAAATTAACTAGTGTATCATCCAGCTATAAATAGTGGGCACGGGTGATTAATACTGCCATGAGCTATACATAACCAAATACTATCAGGATCATTGTTTTTCTACATGAGATAGACCCACACGATCCATACATAACCCACTTATATGTATATCTACCCTATGATATATAAACGTACACTACTGGAGGATGCATCTATAGTTCTGGTTTGCAACACCCTTTAGTCCCGGGTTATAAACCGGGACGTTCAATCTGGAAGTGATATCCATATTCTTGAAGCTAGCTTAGGTAGAGATAGAAAGGGTAGGTGTGTGTTTTACACGAAATTCTAATCTATTCATAGGCCCTCTTTGTTTAGGCTTATAAGCCAACTTATAAGTCGAAAAGTCTAAGCCAAAACAAACAAGCAGCTTTTTCATTTGGCTTTTTTGAAGCCATAAGCCACTCTAACACTATTAAGTCAAAAGCTAGGTTGGAGAAGGTTTTTTTGGCTTATATGAGATAGATGTATGACTCCACCACTAAACTTAGGACATTAAATCCACTGGCTTATAAATCATATAAGCCAATAAGCTGACTTAAAAGTCTAGGCCAATAAGCCTAAGCCTAAATAAAGAGGGCCATAATCATGATGCTTTTTTTCCAGATGCTTTAGTATGTTTACTTTTTAAAAGTTAATTGCTTTCCTTATTTGTAATTTTTCCCAAATCCTACATGTTGGATCGATGGTCCCAATGGAAACGGTATACGTACACGTCGTCCATGGCAACAACAACGTGTTCTAAGGCTTGCGTATACGTACGTGAGATCACTCCCAGCTACAAAAGTTATTGTTTTTTTGTGAAAACATTTCAAAAACGCAAGTGCATATATATATGCACAGCTTTTTGTCACAAACCAAGCCAAAAAAAGTCCAACGTGCAGTCACCTGCAAATGCTATAGCTAGACGGCCCTGCCACGTGTATGGCAAGCTGACCAAGTTGGTGACGTGGCAGCACTAGCTAGGATACAAATCATGCATACGTGCCAGAAGATGTCGCCAGCCAAGCACGTACACTGCGTGTGTAAAACGTAAAGAGATTTTGTATTTTTTCACTTCAAAGTTTCTCTCTTTAAAGAAAATGCATTTCAAAGTTCAAACCATGTTGTTCTCACTTTGCCACAAACTTTATAGCCAGAAGATAGATGTGTATATCTTTTTTTTGTCACTAGTGAAATGAATTTAAATCAGTGAGCTGTGCATATATTGGATGGTTGTGAGAGCTATCGCACGAACCAGCTATCAACCAGGCGTTACACGTACTAATACAGCTTTGCTTGTAGCCGATGCGTTCTATCATCTTTTGCAATGCGTGTGTCACGATATTATCATTTTTTTTTATTTAACTTGTTTACGTGCATTTCTGTTTGGGGAAAAAGATTTTTGAAAAGATGCTTTTTTTTTGTCAATAAATTCGAGGCCAAATGCTCTCTCATCTCTTCACAAAAACATTTGATATCTTTGCTCTTGCTCTTGCAGCCTCTCTCTTGCTCGCTCTTGCGTTGCACGTTTGCTTGCTTTGCCACCATGTCTCAGGAGGAGCAGCGCCATGGCCGCCAGCTGCCGCTAGCTACGAGTGGCGTCATCACCTTCAACGGCGTGCCGCTCTCGCCGCTGACCGCCGGCGCCGAGAGCGACGGCGACGACGACGACGTCGTCATCGTCGACGCGTGTAATAACGGGAAGAGGAAGGTCGGTGATGGGGAAGAAGAAGGGCGCGGATCCCAGGGCGGCGACGACGACGACGACGTCGTAGCTGTCCACGGCGGCGGCGGCGGCGGCGGCAACCGGGCGTGCATGTTCGCGGTGCGGGAGCGGGAGAGGCGGAGGCGGATGAACGACATGTTCGCCGGCATCCGCCGCCTCGTCCCCAACCTCCCGGAGAAGGTATGATCGATTTCACGAGACGTTGAGATCGAGAGCGCTTTGCACGGACAGATCGGTCGGTGCTGTGCTTGAGCTCTCGGATCGGCTAAGCTAGCTAGATTAGCGGCCATGTGCCCATGTGTTCGATGATATCTCTGTTCGTCTACATGTTCAGAGCAGCAGGGTGGAAATCATTGATGGCGCGATCGCTTACATCAAGATGCTGCAGGGGGAGGAGGTCAGGATGGAGGCGCAAAAGCAGGAGCTCCAGCGCGAGCGAGACCGCCTGGCAATGGAGGTGGCGGCGGCCGCCGGGGGCGCGGGGGCCTCCTCCTCCTCCTCGTCCGCCGCGGCGGCGGCGGTGACGGTGGCGGCGTACGGCCCCGCCGGCGCGGTGGGCTCCTCCTCCTCCTCGGCCGCCGCGGCGGCGCGCGCCAACACCGTCGTCCCAGTCCCACAGAGGGCGGCGCGCGGCGCCACGGCGCCGACGCCGCGTCCGGTCGCGCCGCCGCAGGCCGGGACGTGGCCTCTCCCGGCGCCCGCGGCGATGCCGCCGCCGCCGCCACCACCCACGGGCGCCGCGGCGGTCGCGCCGCCGCCGTCGCTCAAGACGTGGTCGTGGGGCGACAACGTCGTGGTCAGCGTGCTCGGCAACATCGGGAACATGACCGTGCGCGCGCCGCTGCGCCGCACCGGCGTGCTCGCCATGGCGTCCGCCGCGCTGAAGAGGTACAACATCACGGCAGTGACGTCGCTGAGCGGGACCGACGCTTCCCGGACCCAGAACATGTTCATGTTCTACACTATTGTGAGTACCATCTCTTCCCTTTGTTTATTTAGAGATAGTAGTTTGCAATGCAAGCGACTATATATGTATAGATCCACAAGAATGGGAGCACTGGATCTTGGCTATGGTGGTGCATGTGTTTTATAAATAGCGGATAGCGTGGACTTGCCATAACTAGATTGTTGCTCGCGAAACAGCTTACTAGAAATGGAAGTGTCAGAATCTTGGAGCCTACGTAATGTAGATTGTCGTTATCCGTATTTTAAATTATAGCGATTGCCCTCGTATCGGAGCTAGTCTTCTTATTATCTGATAACTTATTGTCATTATTCCGTAACGTATAGAGTATACTTGTCATACTTATGCTGTTGCCCGCAAAATGGCTTACTGGAAATGGTTAAGAGCTGAATCTTGCAGTCTACGTAACGTAGGTTGTCGTTATGCATATATTTAATTATAGCGATTCTCTACGTATCAGAGCTAGTTTTCTATTTATTTTATAACTTATTATCGTTATTATGTAACGAATAGATTGGACTTTCCATAATTAGGTTGTTGCTCGAAAAAGGGTTCATTTGATATATAAGAATATGAGGATCTTGGAGTTTATGTAAACTTTGGTTTATCATGGTGCATATATTTAGCTATGTGTTTATACTCAAGTCAAAATTGTTTTCTAATTATATAGGAGCCTCCCATATGTAGGGGCGAACCTGAAATATGATTAGATGAAAGACTCATCTCCTTCCTCCTTCAGCAACACCCTCTCCACCCCCTTTTTCTGTTCCTCCTCTCCCTCTTGTTCTCCCTTCCTTCTCTCCTTCTATCAATAGTGATCCAATGGGATAGGGGTGACTTGAATCCCCTCCCCCTCCCCCAGCACCCATGCTAGATGCGCCCCTATCCATAGCTATCTTTTAACGTATAGTGCAGACTTGCCGTGGTTAATTAGGTTGTTTGCTTACGAAATGACTTTATCGCAATACTATGGATTGAAATATTGAGATCATCTTGTACCCTTGATTATCGTGGTGCATATTATTACAACATTGTTTTGTTGTTATTGACAACCGTATAGTTTAGACTTGTTTTAATAATGATTCGTCAGCTCGCAGACCACTTGCTTTAGGCCTTGTTCGGTTACGCTTGGATTCAATCTGAGTCAGGAATGACAAGTGTAGTAAGAAATTTATGATATATACAATGAGAGACCGGGATTTATTCTGGGCCATGAACCAATTTACTTATGATAGGGACAATAAGGGACCGGGAATCAATCCACTAGTCAAGAGGTGTGAAACTAATCCCAATCTATTATTGTTTCTATCATAAGTAAATTGGTTCCCTGCCCAGAATAAATCCCGGTCTCTCATTGTATCTATCATGAATTTCTTACTACACTTGTCATTCCCGGCCCAGATTGAATCCAAGCGTAACCGAACAAGGCCCGAGGGAAGGATTGGAGTGTATTTATTCCACACCTATTGTGGTGTGGAATTCTACCCCCTCAATCCCCTCCAATCCTTTTCAATCCCCTTCAAACCGAACAAGGCCTTAAGCGGAAAACTCTAAGCTTCGAGTTCACAAAATCATGCGCTGCGATTATGCATATTGCTAAGGACATGGACATGCCGCATGAGTCGATGTATAAGTATATATGGTATCTGTTAATCCACTCTACTTCAACTAAATTATAGATTACCTCGATGTATATATTTAGTTTGATGAAAATTGGGTTCAGTGTTTAACTGAAACTTCATCTATGTTCCATTGTACCCAACTGCTGCATATGCTGCTGACATTTTGGGTGTTGAATTTCCAATGAACGTACAGATCGATATGCCGGACAGGCAGCCCCAGTTTGTGCACCCCAAGGTGTTCGAGGCCATGTACAGAGCGGCGGCCGCCGAGATCGCGGCCTGGATCAACTGCTACTGATCGAGAAAAGCCCACCACCGCCGGCAAGAACGATCCCAATAGGGAAGATTCAGTTCGGCTACCTGCCTACCTCCATTGCATCGATGATCTCACCAGTGTGGTCGCATGCATCTCTGCAGTTAATTATCGTTTGGTTTGGTTTGAGCATTCGGCTCCTCTTCCTCATATCAGTCCAGTGTCGCGTCAAAACTGAAGCAGTTGGATTAGATTTTGGGTTGTTTCTGAATAATGTTGGCGTGTGTGCAGCTAGCATAGCAGGGATGGTGTGTGCAACGTCGTCACTGAATATGTTGCTGCAGAACATTTTAGTCCATTTTTAATTTGGTGTGGTTTGCTTTCCAATAATAAATTAACATTGTGAGGTTTGCTGTCATTTTGTTCTCTCTGGTGCTACTCAGTACTCCCATTATTAATGTCATAGCTGTAGCTGTGAGCTAGGCCTCGTTTGGGCCTTGGGTGAACTCACTCATGGGCTGCTAGCTCATGGTCTGCAGTAATCCAGCCCATGGGATTCCAGCAGTTAACCTTCAACAGGAAAGAAGAAATTCGAAGGAACCAGTCCATTTGCACACCCAGACGAACTGCAGTGAAGAAGAGGGCTTATTTGGGTTGATCCCCAAATCAACATTACCAAATTCATGCTAGTACTTGGTTTGGCCCACATTTTGGTGATTCTAAAATTTGGTACTCTGTCTGACATTAATCTAAAGACTCTTATTTCACCAAAATTTTAGTGATGTCAATTTTTTTAGAAAGTAATGTCAAATTTTGGTACTTTTTTTTCACGAACACGCATATAACATCCTGAAAATTCCTAACAATAAAAATCACTAAAATTTTGAAAATTTTCAAAACTTTTATATCATGCTGGATGTTATGGTTGTTCTTGCTTGCCAAACTATAAATTGTCACCATGGAGAATCAAATTAAAGAGGTACATCTACATAATAAATACAATTTACAAGAATACATTATTTATTACTAAACCTATAAATATTTATGCACAAGAAAGCAAAGCCAAATAAAGCACAAGTCAATTATTTATTTCTATAATATAGATTACAAATTGAATGTTAAATACTTTAACCATGTTGACAAGTGTCATGACATCTAAGTAACCATGAAATAGTCGCCACTACAATGACTATATATATATATATATATATATATATATATATATATATATATATATATATATATATGAGTGTTACACTAGAATAATTAAATTAATATCTATAACTTTCATTGAGTCTTTCATGGAATAAAATTCACTCAGATAAAATAATTGGTCATGTAAATGAATTGAGCTTTATATATAAAATGTGTTTATGTGAGTGTATAATTAAACATTTAGATCAATATTGTACCAAGTCTCAATTTAATTTTATGGAATAACAAATTAAACATATCCATGTAAAATACATTGTTATACAAGTAAACTCGACCAATGTGCTATTGTATTATTAAAGGTCACATTAGAATATTTAATTAGTTTTTAAGAAATATCAAAGCCTAGAAGTTATATTGGATAATTTTTGGATAATCTAATGGAAAACAAATTCATTTGGGAATTAATGAATAACCAAGTAAATATTCAAATCAAACATTTGAATTCGCAAAACCAAAATGAATAGATTACATTTCAATTCAAATCCAATCCCATTCACTTTTGCAGTTTAGCCCTTCCCTTTTCCTCTTTGTCCTTTTCTTCCTTTTCTTTTCTTCTCCAGCCGGCACTATTCATCGCGCATGACCTGTTCGATATGGGCCCAAGCCGCTCCCTCACCTCACGCCGCATCCCTCCGCATCCGCGCTCGCGCCCAGACACCGCGCATGCGATCGACCACGCCACCTCCGCATCTTGCGTCGCCCCCGTGCACCGCATCGTGCCGCGCCCTAACTCCGTGTTACGCCAAGTCCGCCATTCTGCCGCGAATCCCGGCATCCGTCAGCGCCGCCATCTCCTTCAGCCGTCGCTCCAAGAGATGAGGAACGAAGCCGATTGGATAAGCGCGTCGCCATTGCCACGTCCGCCCCATTATCTAGACGCCATGACGTCCCATCGCCCCTCCATGCACCCGCTGGACAAAACGATGCGCACCCTCTCAAGCTAGCGCTGAGGCTCACAGGCTAGGAGCTGTAGGGTGATGATTAAGCCACAGAGACTTAATGGAGAAGAGGATGGAAACCTTAGGGCAAGTTTTATAGTAGAGGTGACCACCACATACAATTTCATGCATGACATACATAATTAAATTAAAAGGTGACATGTATAATAGGTTGTTTCTACCACACAATCCCCAACATCTCTAACACTCTCACATGTTTATTGAAGTTTGTGTAGAGGTTGCCCCTTGCATGAGAGGTGACTATTTCTCTCTCATCTTTCTTCTCTCCTCCACCTCACTATTTAGTCCTATGTGGCATATTGGAGCTTGTGCTTAGATGCCCATAGTACTGCCCTTAGCCGCGTTAACCTCCCTAACCTAGGCCGTAGACAGCCATCGAGTGCGCCTGTCATCAACCTCATCCTCCACGCTATCCAGGCTTATCCCCAAGCCAAGCCCCCATAAAAACCCCAACCCTCTCTGCCTCTCCCTTGGATACACATTTCGTCGAACACCTATCATGCATGCCAGCATCGTCTTCTCTGCTCCACCACCACCGCCGATCTTCGTCGTTTCCCCATTCCTCGGTAAGTCCTCGCTCCTCTGGCCTCTCCTAGTTCCGTAGAAGCTAGAGCCCCCTCTAATTTTGGCGGTTAGCGCCCGAAGCCGTGACGGTTCGGCCGCCGTTCCGCCACCAACGAGCTCGCCGTGGACAAGCCATCCCGGAGCTCCTCTTAGCCATATAGTGAGAAAAACGGAACCCCCGTACGCCGTAGATGCTCATGCCCCCATCAATCTGGTCGGAAACCTTCCCTACCACCCTAGCCCCGAGCTGCCCGAGCTCGGGATCATGGCGTTTCTTGGTTTGCCGCCGTCCATGCGCTGCCGTGCGCCGTAGCCGCCTGCGGGGTGTTCGCCGGAGCTCTCCGCACCTTCCCCGGCCGCTGGCCTCGCGCCAACCCGGCCTCACCCGGCTGCATCCTCCCCTGCTGCTTCCGCTCGGGCTGGACTGCTGGAGGTTGAAGACGACTCCCTTCTGAGTCGCTGACGAGCTAGGCCCACCTCCATCTTCTCGATAGAAAAATAATTTGGAACAAAAGAAAATCAAGACCTTGACCCCATTTGTCAGTCCGGTAGCTGTGGATGGGATTTCGGATTAAAATAAATCAATTAGGAACAGTAACTTTTCGCTATTTCTCGGATTAATTCAAATTTGAGTCTTTAAACTAGCATAACTTATTCATTTTAACTCCAATTTGAGTGAAACTTAAACCTAAATTCATAAGCTTCCCAATGGTATATAACTCACTATTTAATAAAATATATTTATAATTATTAAATAATTAATATCAAATGATTAGATAATGATTAAACTAAAAATGTGCTAGCAAATAAAAATTATCATTGTACAGTGAACTAGGTAGAGGAATATTTGTTGTTAGCATGTTCTGTCACTATGGGAGAACCATGTGTAGCTATATGTATTAGTTCAATTTAAAGCAAAGATAGGACATATTAGTATCATTTATTATTCCATGATTATATATAGTCAAGTTCATGATTTAGTCATTGTCTAAATAGAGGATTAACTTAATGAGTTTATAACTAAAAATCTAAGTACACACATATCACAGTCCTTAGTTTGTCCATGAGGTATAATAAGAGAGCTGGGTGTGATGGAATCAATCGAATGATAGATTTAACCAGTGCAATATCCTATATAGTAGTATATATATAATTTGGTTGACGCCTATTATTTAACAGAACAATAAATAACTCATGTTCGGTAAATGATCCAATATTAACATATTATTGAACTCGCATGTATAGTACATCTATTTAACACATACACAGTAAGTCAATCACCTACTTTTGCACCTATTAAACTATGAATTGTTCGATAAACATCAAAGTTAGATAAAACACTAATTATAAATCTTGACCTCGTTACAAGACCACACAGACAAATAATCTGTACCTATAACCTCACAGATCTAACATATAGAGCATGGATGATTATTAACCCTTTTATAATTTATAATGACAAGTAAAATATGATCATAATTAAAATAATGCCCCATTGGTAAAATAATAATATAAATGATTCCTTGTGATTGCTTGTTGATCCTAATTAAATTAATCCATCCAACGACAGAACCTTTAATATATGACCATTTTACTTGAATAGATGCATGCGTAGTCATATAACCCTCCCATAACCCTATAGCTAGACTAAACCACATAGTAGCACTGTATATCTCATATATTATGCTAGTAGTACCAATAGAGCCATCAGGACAATATAAAATACTAAGAAACCTTAGCCCATAAGCTTTCTTGTCTCATCAGCTGCTTGCATGCTAAGTAATTTAGAGCCTAAGCTACCTCAATTTTCCTTACCTATATAAACTGTGCAGCCATAGTAGAGACTTCGTAGCACCTTACAATCCATTAGCAAACACAGTAAAATGAGCAACCCTAGGTACGACCCAACAATTATATTTTGTTTGTGCATATTGATTGTTGCTTGAATATTGGTTTCTCTCGCGTATTATAGTATTGGTGTATCGATTAGTCGTGAAGCAACATATGCAAGCTTCCAGGAGGTGAAGGTTGATCAAGATTATATCAAGAATAGGAACTATCCTGAGCAGCAAGTCATCACTAATCTTTGAGCATGTTGAACCCATTGCGAACTTATTTTGGATTTAAAATAAAGTTTGCATGCTATATGGATATACGTGAATGTCCTACTTTGTTATATGCCATGCCTTTGATATTGATGACCCATGCAATCCTTGTAATCCATAATATCGTGTGTCTTTACTCAATACTTTATAAATGCTTAGCCATGCTACTTTAGAATCATGCATATTCATATTTATCAAAATACTTTATGCTTGGGCAACTACCTTTGGGAAGGTGGTTGAGATGCGGCATGTGGAGACATGAGTGCCACATTGCCATGACATTGGTGACATGATTTGTGAAAGGAAAAATAAAACTAAACAACTGTTTTCGACTGGGGCGACTGGATGACTTGGGTGGAGTCCGGTAAAGGCTAGTGCCGTCCCTGGTCAATTAAGGACCGAGCCATGAAGTTAAGCATGAAACGACCTCAGTACAACCGTACTTCTCGTGTGGGTATAGACCTAGCAGAGTAAATAGCCGAGCGGAGGCGGAACCCAAGCCGTAGTGGTTTTCTTGTTGTGTGTGAGGCAGGGACTACGGTGGGGCAGCCATTGGTATGACCACGAGGGGCGGGTGCCTACAGTGGTGTCGCCATCGGTAGGACTGCCATGTGTAAACATAAACTTAACTATAACTTAACTCCTCTCACTGCTAGAAATCTTGGACGCCTAGAGTGCATGAGGACTAAAGTTGATGGAGCGGGTACTGCCAAAGTGAGGTTATGGAAAGGCTTTGCCGTGGCAAGTCTCATTCGTTGGGATGTAGGCTCATGTGTTGGGCAAGTCGCGGAGTACGGGTAAAGTGTACATCCACTACAGTGTGAGTAAATCAATCTATTCGAATAGCCGTGCTCGTGGTTATCGAGCACCGGGACGTGTATTACACTTGGCTAGACTCTAATTTCTTAATCTGATTGGGATGGGATATGCATGATGATTTTGTGCTGATGGATCAACTTCTCGAGAGGCGAGAAGGGGTAGACCCCAGAAAACCATGACGACCAGTGGCGGGAAGCTATCCTTGGGAACACAATGGATGGTGGACAGAACTGTCGCTGTTTAATGAACCATGGAGTTAAAACTTGATTAGTTTATGCTAGGTCTTAGGTTTGTGAAATGATATTTGAAAACTCAGCTTTACGCAAAGTAACCATAGCCACTCCTTGTATTATCCTGTACATTACTGCATTTTGTGTGGTGGCTTGCTGAGTACTTTTGTACTCATTGTTGCTCTATATATACCTTTTAGCAGAGTGTTGAAGAGAAGCCCTTGTTAGTACGCTTGCGTACCTAGCAAGATGATCGGAGTGCAGTTCCATTCTAGGTCTCGTTCCCTAGTCGACTGCTTGTGACATGTCAACCAGGCCCTTGTATTATTTTGTCTTCCACTGTTGTTCTCTGATAGTTGTTGGCCTGCCTGGCCCTAATGTAAGCATTTAACTCTCTTAGCCTGAATTCATTCGTGATATGTTGTGATTCGGCTATATATGTGTGTACCAACTACTGATCCAGGGATTGGTACTGATAAACACAGAAGATTTCCGATTTCCGAAATCGGGGGTCAACAGCGCAAAAGGATTGCACGTCAATATATTAGTAGAAAAGGAATTTTGTTACACGCCGCAAACAGCCAGACTGGCTTATGCCAAGAAAAGGGGGAAAACATAACCAAAGAAAAGTAAGAGACTACTACGACGGCTAAACGCAACTCCAATCAGCTGGGAGGAGGGCAGAGCCCCGCTACACTCGCAAGAAATCCCCAAAAGAAGCAACGCCAGCTAACGACCACAGACGACCCTCCGAGAGGATGGACTCTAGAACCACTAAGACCGAAGAGAGCGCAGAGTCGAAGACCCTAGAGTTATGTTTCTTCCATAACTGCCAAGAGACAAGGAGGACTTGGGAGTCGAAGTCGGCACGGAGATGCGTAGGTAAGCAAGCCCTAGAAGATGGCCACCAGTCCTAGAGCCAGTTTCCACGGGGAGGAGAAAGGGCAGCCCAACCAGGAGGCGACAGCACACAGAGCCAGACCTGCCGAGCGAACACGCAGTCTAGGAGAATGTGTTTCGCCGTCTCAAGCTCCTGAGCACAAAAGGGGCAAGCCGAGTTGCTATCGATACCACGCTTCTAGAGGAGATCGGCTGTCCAGCAGCGCTGCTAAAATGCAAACCAGAGGAATAACTTGCATTTAGCAGGACCCTTCACGTGCCAAAGAAGATCAGCACAGGCGAAGGAGTGTTGGCCATAGAAGAACGCCTGGTACGCTGAACGCACCGTGCAGCACTGGTTACTCGTCCAACACCAAACAAGACGATCTTCGACACCTGGCGAGAGCCGATTGTGAAGCACCGCATCCCAAGCCAGAAGAAACTGGGAGATGACCAGGACAATGAGGGCGCCACCGATGTCAGAAACCCAGGAATTGTTCACCAGGCCAGAAGCAACCGTGTGCGAACTTCGGAGTCGTTGGGGCACAACGAAGAGAAGGTCTGGAGCCAAAGAGGCCACCGATCCAACGGTCAGACCAGAAGAGCATCGACTCACCATCTCCCAGCACAAAGAAGGTGGACGCCTCAAACATGTCGGAGACGGTCCGCTCAACTGGGGCCTTCAGGCCATCCTAGTAGGGATGCCCTGAGCGCTGAAGCCGGAGCCAGCAAACACGCAGGGCAAACCCTGCCATCCTGAGGTCAGGAATTCCCAGCCCACCAAAAGCTTTGGGACGACAGACGTTCGTCCAAGATACCCGGCACTGCCCCCCATGAGCTGAGTCCGTACCCGTCCACAGGAAGGCTCGACGCTTCTTGTTAATGGCTTTAATAACCCAGACAGGAAGGCCGATCGCCATAGACACATGGACCGGAATGGAGGAGAGGACAGACTGGACCAGCACAGAGCGGCCGGCCAGCGTGGTGAGACGTCCCTTCCAGGGGGAAGCCGATGGGAGACTTTGTCAACAAGCGGTTGTAGGGCCACCTTCGGCAACTTGCGAACAGATAGCGGAATGTCGAGGTAGGTGCAAGCAAAATCAGAAATCGTGCAGGGGAAGCAAGATTAAACTAGCTCTAGGTCCTCGGCCGAGCAACGGATCGAAGTAATCGAGCATTTGGCAAAATTGGTGCGCAGCCCGAAAGCTGCACCAAAGACAGAAAGGATGCACTGGATGAACCCAAGATCCTGTCGAACCGGGGAAAGGAAGAGAACTAGATCATCAGCATAGAGGGAGGCGTGAGGTCGCAAGGCACGATCGTTAAGCTGAAGGAACCCGCCCGAGTCGGAGGCCTTACAGAGCATCACATTGAGCACATCCATGACTAGAATGAAGAGTATAGGGGATAGAGGATCTCCTTGCCGAAGACCCATTCGGTGAGGGAAGCGTGGACCAGGCACCCCATTGATCAGCACTCGGGAAGAGGAGGCACTGAGGATGAGGGAGATCCAATCCCGCCAACGCTAACTGAACCCGAGATGAGCAAGCACCTGAAGCAAGAATGGCCAACTGACCGTGTCAAAGGCCTTTGCGATGTCCACCTTGAGAAGGAGGCGGAGAGTGCGCCTGGCATGGAGGGCCCTTGCCGCGAGTTGGTCATAGCGAAAGTTGTCGTGGAGGGATCGACCTTTGACGAAGGCACTTTGATTGGCCGCCATAAGCCCGTCAAGGTGGAGAGAGAGACGGGAAGCCAGGATCTTGGAGAACAACTTCCCAAAGCTGTGGATGAGGCTAATCGGTCAAAAATCCTTGACGTCAACGACCACATCCTTCTTTGGCAGAAGGGAGATGAGGGCATCATTAAGGGAGGCAAATCCCCGGCCTTTAGTCAAAAAGAGGGAGTTGAGAGCTGCCAAGAACTCCGACTTAATCACCGACCAGCAAGTCTTGTATAACCGACCCGTGAACCCATCAAGACCAGGCGCCTTGTCAGAAGGCAAAGACTTAATCACCGCCCACACCTCCTCCTCCGAGAACGGGTCATCTAGCCCCCCAAGCTGCATAGGGCTGAGGCCAAGGGAGTGAAGGTCAAGAGCGAGATCAAGCTCAACGCACGTCCCCAAGATAGATCCAAAGTGAGTGGAGACGAGCTCTTAAAGCTCTCATCATGTGAAACGATGAGCTGGTCTCCATCTCAAAGGTGAGTGATGAAGTTCTTTCGCCTTCAGGCCCTAGCGTGATAGTGGAAAAACTTGGTGTTAGCGTCACCCTCCTTGAGCCAGATCAAGAACGAACGCTGGCAAGCTATGGTGCGCTCAAGAGAGGCAAGCCCGAGGCGTTTCAGCTTCAAGTCCCGCCACAACTAGGTCGCCAAGGGAGAAAGAGACCGGTTCTCTTGCGTGACATCAAGTCGGAAGACAAGCTCCTTCGCCATTTGAAGGTGGAGACGGACGCTACCAATGTGACGGTCGCCCCAGCTCTGCAAGCGCTTAGCTGTGTTGGTGAAACACCAGGCAAGCGCGGCGAGAGGGGGAAGGTTGGACGGAGGTTGCCAGGCGTCCTGCACAACTTGAAGGAAGCCGTCGAACTTGCGCCAAATGGCTTCAAACCGAAAGCTCTCGGCAAATCGACGCAGGAATGAAGCAGGAGAGCACAGTGATCAAAGGCAACAGAGGAGGCTTCTTGAAGAAGACATGGGGGAAAGAGCTCCTCCCAATCCGTAGAGAAGAAAACACGATCTAGCTTGACGAGCGTAGGAGAGTCATGCTCGTTGCTCCATGTGAAACGACGGCCGTGAAGCGGCAACTCCCGGAGGTCCAACTCATCGATCAATCGACGAAAGTGGCCCATCATTCGGCGATTGAGATTCAAGTTGTTCTCGTCCTGGGAGTCGAGGATAAGGTTGAAACCGCCTGCAACAGCCCACAGACCTGAGCAAGAGGATCGTAGCATCCGAAGCTCATCCAGGAACCAAAGTTTCTTTGGTTCTTCCTATGGCCCATAGACGATGGAGAGCCACCAGGGGGCATCATCGGAGTGGTGCCGAACCAACGCGGTAAGAGATAATTCCGCAAGGTGAACATCCGAGACCGACTAGACGGCCGTCCACCAGGCAAGCAACACACCCCCAAACCGACCAACAGCAGGCAAGAAAGAATAATCAAACTCAAGGCCTAACATTTCCAGAATAATACGAGACGGGATGACATCCATTTTTGTTTTCTCAAGACAGAGAAGAGAGACCCGCTCGTCACGAACCACATCACAAACCGCATCCCGGCGGGCGCGAGAGTTCAGACCCCGCACGTTCCACACCAAAATGTTCTCATTACATGATCCCATAGAAAAGAGACCACGCAGAGAAGGGGAAGACAAGGGAAAGGGTCAACCGCAGGCAGACAACATCTCAATCGCCTGCGCAGGAGGCAGCGAGCTAGAGAGGAGTGCAGAGAGGGCGATGATGTGGTCCTGCGAGAGGGGCTCAGTGAAGAGAGCGTCGAAGTCTGCCAAGGCCTGTGCCAGGACCGGACCCTCGTTGGGCACCATCTCGAGCTTGCGCATCAGGTTGCACTATGCGCGAGTAATCATGTGACACGGGCCAGCAAGCGCGATGTGGGCAGCAATCCACTTGCTGCGCTTCGGCACCACTCCCACGGCCGCGACGGTAGGTGCCATAGGCGCGGGGGGAGTATGCGGCGCAGGACAGAGAGGCTTGCAGCAGCTGGCGAGGATGGCGCGAAGAGCGGCGTTCTGCACGACCGAGGGAGGCAGTGAGCACGCCATCGGCTGGCCGTCGAGATCAAGAGCGAGAATCGGCATGTCGAACAAGATCTCCTCGCCACCAACCGGCATGTCGAACAAGATCTCCGCGCCATCAGCCACAGGGGAAGGAGGGACTGCCACGGCCGCTAGCCACGCAGCCCCCTCTCCCACAGTCGGTCCAGACTCGTGCCCAATAGCGGCAGCCATGGCCGGGGCCTCATCCCCAGCAGCAGATGCAGACACGGACGTCGGCGAAGGAGACGTCGGAGCCCCCTCTCCCATCACCGGCCCATCCACCATGGAGGGGCGCTGAGCTGCGGAGGAAGAACGCTCGGTGTTGGCGGTAGGGATGGAGGCCAGCGAAGGTAGTTTTGGCGGGGACCGCGGCGGCCAGAAGACAGCCGGAACCTCCTCCCCGGCAGCCAAAGCATCTAGCTCGTCGAAGAAAGCCACAGCAGCCACGGCCTCCGGGAGTGACGGCGATGAAGGCGGCGACGCGGTGACCACCTCCACGGCCACCACCGCCTCCGTCGGCAGCCGAGGGCAAGCTAGCCTCCCCCACTGCCGGCAGGGCAGCGAACCTAGAGGCCGGCACAGTCGGCGAAGGGGTCGGCGACTGCGGCAGGGGCACGTCTGGTGGCGTTGGCGGCACGTCCGGCGGCGTCGGCGACGGGAGCGAGGTCGGCAGCGCGGGAAGCGACGACGGCGGGCCGGCGGAGCGCGGCGACGCACGAGACGACGACGGCTGCCCGGCGGAACGCGGCGACGCACGAGACGACGACGGCGGTATGGGGGAGCACGAAGACCCTGGCGCCGAGCAAGATGAAGACGGCGGAAGCAGCGCCGGCAACAGCGGCCGCGGAGGAGAGCCGGCGACAGCGGCCGTGGCGGCGAGCTGACCAGCGACAACGGACCCGGAGGAGAGCCCACCAGCAACATCGGCGGGCCGGCCGGCGACGGCTGCCTCGACGAAGAACCCACCAGCGACAGCGGTTGAAGCGGCCGCGGCAGAGAACCCTCCGGCGACTCCGACGACAACGGCCGCGCGCTGCGGTCGCAACGTGACGGCATCCCGAGGAGGCGAGCAGCAGGCGAAGGACGGCTGCAAGGGCGTCGGTGGAGACCGTCGAGGAGGCGGCGAGTCGTCAAGCCCCGCAGCGGCTGGCGAGACCGACGATCGAGAAGGTCAGCGGAGCGTCAGCAGCTGGGCCGACTGGGGGCACCGGCGACAAGGAAACCTCGCCCTCCTCACCCAGCGGCCACACCGCGACTACCGAGGAGGCGATCCCTTCCGGCGACATCCATGGAGAGAGGCGGCTGGGCTGACACGGAAATCCCTCGCCGGTGGCGACGCGGCGCCGGCGACCACTGGCGGCCCAGCGGTCAGAGGCAAAGCGAGAACGAGCCTAGCGGCATCCCGACGTCGGCAAGCGGAGCAGCCTCACAACCCCCGCCCAAAGGCCATGACGGCCCAAGCCCACCAGGGAGAGAAGGGAGAAGGCCCGCCTCAAGATGCATGGGGTCGAAACGAGTGGGCCCATCCAAGGCGGCCCAATGGGGGAGTGGTCCATCATGGGGCACAGGGACCATGTGGGATGGCCCGAAAGGGCCACTCAACGGCGCCGGTCCAGGCGGCAGCTCGCCTGTCTTGGCGCCGCCTCACTTTATTTGGCATTCAACTGTTACACTATGAAACAAAACAGAAAACCAGTGAGCCCAGTCCATTTTACTCTTCGGGACTAGGCTATACTTGAATTTGTATGGGATTGTCTGGGTTGATATCCAAAATAACTGCACCGAAATTGTGGTAGCAACAGCAAATTTTTGTCAACACTTGAATTTGCTAACATTTTTTTACGTAATGCAAAATTTTGGTTCTCTACATAGCATGAAACCAGTCACACTGCAAAATAAAGTTTGTAATGTTATGTGCTATTTGGTTCCGAACCAAACATCCACACCCCACTATAATTTTGGCGTTGAAACAAAATTTTCAAGTTCTTTTCAGGTTTCGAAAGGTGTTGGGAAGTTTAGTGTTAATCATTTTAGAGATAACCTATTCTATACCATCGAGTTTGTTCAAGTTCAACGATTTGCCATCGACATTGTCTCTTTCTATAATATACCGATGACTTTAGCAATTGTTCTATGATATACCATTGGGCTGGACCTTCTTTTCAAAAATACCCAAAATATCCTCAGAGACATACAAAATAAACAATTGATTTCTCTCATTAGAAGTTTCAAAAAAATATGAAATTTTTTATGTGACCTCCTTACACAACATGGAAGTTTGTATACAAGTTTTAAATTTTTTCTGGTATTTTTATTTTTTAAAAAAATATTTTTACGTGGTATATGAGAGAAATTGCTTATAAAGGAGATGATAGCATAAAATATCTTATGTAGTGTGTGAAAGATGATTTATATTAAAAACAAAAATAATAAAATATTTTTATATACAATATAACATATAAGTTATAATTTTAAAAAAAGAAATGTAAAAAACTTGAAACTCCTATAAAAATTTCTATGATGTGTAAGGAGGCCACATAAAAATTTTCATATTTTTTTGAAATTTCTAGTGAGATAAATCAAATGTTAACCTTGTATGTTCATAAGGGTATTTTGGGTATTTTTGAAAAGAATGTCCAACCCAGTGACGTATTGTAGAACAATTGATAAAGTGGCAGGTATATTGTAGAAAGATCCAATGTCGATGGTAAATCGTTGAACTCACACAAACTCAATGGTATAGAATAGATTATCTCATAATTTTATGGTGAATAGTGAAGACCATTGGTGGTGGTGGTAGAGTTATGGGTACATTACTCTATTTAACATGTTTTGCATCCTAGTATTCACAAATATTTAACTCTATTTAATATGGATAACTCCCGGCCTCTATAAAGGATTTTGAATGGATGGAACACATCCAGAAAGCCTGTCCAAATTTATAGTATTAAGATATATCCCATCCACCCAAAAATACTCTATATTTTAGGATGGGCGGAGTATTTCCTACTTAACCTTAAAAATGCCTATGCGAAGCTCGGATATGGTTCAGGTGTAGTTACTAGTGTGACTGCAACTTAAGCAGTCACACTAAGACCATCCAAGTTATATCCAATGGCTGAGATTCCTAGGAGCACTGTTCACATAGAAAAAATATTGTACATATACTGTAGCAATGGTACTGTAGCACTTTAATCTGTACCCTTGATCTGGAAAAATGGATGGATAAGATACCATGCAGTCACTAACTTGCAGTCCTAGCAGTGACTGCATGTGATCTCAATCTGCGAAGCTCATAGTGAGAATGCACTCATCAAACCCCAAATGCCCTTTTACCAGATTTTTCTGTGATGCTACATTTTGGTTATGATTTGCTTGGGAACATACAAACATACCAAGATTATTATCAATTAACAACAGAAGGGATCAGAGAGAAAGTAAAAGAAACGAAAAGAAAAACGGCATATGCTCCCCTTCATCTTGCACGCATGCATGTGCATGCCAGCCTCGCAGGCTCGCAATATCGATCGATCTCGCCCCTGTGTCGCCTCATGTGGCGGCACGCACGGCCCGCGCGCTCCCCATCGATCCATCCATCCTCGCATGCATATATCGATCGATCAGTTCTAGAACTGCAAGCACGCGACCACATGGTCTCCCTCCATGGATCAAACACTTGTTATATGGTAATCGAGCCAATTCTTAATTTGTTATTTTTGGGGTTAAGTGTAGCTGGCCAATCACCATCAAGCTTAGCACATGATTGGCAAAAGGGATGAGATAATTAAAAAGGAAAGGGGAAAAGGAAGAGGGGAGATCACGTGGGTTTATCCATGAAAAACAACGGTTTAAATTGTGGACCGTACAAAGACACAACCGGCCGGCCAGAGCTTTGAGATCGAGCTCAAGGTACAATAATGTCATTTGTACTTTGGTCAATCCACAGCAGTGTTTTGTTGTGGTAACAGGAGTGCGACAATAAATGGAGCTGAGAGGACGACAATATTGATCATTTGTTCGGAGAGCTTCTCTCATATTACCGAGTAATTTTACCATCCAACATTTAGTATCTCGAGATATTATATTTTTTTTATCTCGAGGTACGGTAGTAGTATAAATTTAGTACCTCTAGTGTAAAATTTGATACCTCAAGGTACTTGCTACTTAGTATCTCGAGGTACTAAAATTTTGTATGCAAAATGTGGTACCTCGAGATATTAAATGTTGGATGATAAAATTGCTCAACAGTATCAGTAGTAATAGAATCTACAAATGAACACTAATTCTCAGTATGTTCCTATTTATTTGGCAATATCGATCGACCACTGTAAATTTAAATTTATCTTTGACCAGTAAAAAGTTCTAAATTGTGATGTTTTAATAAACGTAAGTAGTATAGATATATTTAGCATGCAAAAATAATTTGATAATACAGCATATTATTAATATTTATTTTTTCGCAAAAGAAAGAACGGTCAACGTTTATAGATGAATAGTGTCTGGTGACAAGGAAAGAAAGAATGGACGCCACTTTACAGTTCTTTGGAGTGACATTTTTCGATTTGCAAACCCTCAAGTTGCACACAAATGTTTTCTCATCTTTTTTCCCAGAGATCTCAAACGAGTATCGATCTTCTGTTCTTAGTGGCAGAGCACTCAGTCAGCATCACCCCCCACACCCATGAGACATGAATGACCCACAAGCAATAGAGCCGAAAGCAACGGGATCGAGAAGAGCCCTGCAGGCAACAACAACGCAATTAATGTAAAATGAACAGAAGCATCAATGAATGCGAGAGGAAGAAAACAACGCAAACGCATCGATTCATCTACAGATTACCTATACAGCCAACTAGCCCCACGGAGCCATTGTTTCGCTTATTCACGGAATAAGCGAAATGCCATATTTACAAACGAAAAATAATTTATGAATAAAACTTTTATATATGTATTTTTAGCGATCTAAAAATGAAAGCTAAAAAATAAACTTCAATGAAAAAAACTTAAAATCAACTCCAAATTTAAGGTTGAAAATTTAAAATTTGGATGATAAGCATAAGTATGAGCGAAAAGAGGAGGCCCCTTTATACAGTGAGAAATTAAGCCTGACCTTTGTTTCAACAGAAGCCACACCACTACCACGGCCACCTAGAGTTTAGCTCAAGTTCACCTGCTGTTCAGGAACAGTAGAGAGCTAAAACAGCAAAGCAAGTGCATATGCATGCTACAATTGCAGCCACTATACCACAACTCCACAAACACATCTATATATATCTATTGTGCTCCTGGTCTCTAGCTCACTCTTCTTGCTTCAGCATAATCTGTAGATAGGGAACTAGCGCTAGCTAGTGGCACTTGTACATGCACTACTGCCCTTTTCTCCTCTCTTCTAGCTGTTGTGCTCCATGAGTAAGCCAAAGATTATTATGAGTGCTATTTGAAACACTTTGGAACATTACTTTTTTTAAATGTTTTCCTTTTTATTTTGCGAGATGTCAATTGAGGTCTGTGCGGACTTGTGTGGTATATAGTAGTTATGCCTAACTTTCTTTTTCCGTTCTTTCTGCACAGATTCTAACGTGGATTCCCATCAGCCTTACACATGATGATCCTATGAATTCATTAACTAGCTGAGCAAGAGAGGGAGAGGAGAGAAAAAAGAAAAAAAGCACCGAAAAGTTGCAAATGATGCTAGGCAGAGTGGCGAACAGACGACGGAGGTATCACTGTACCGGCACTCTATTAGATCATGGAAAAAGCACACTCATACACTAGGTCTTCTTTACAAAGCCTAAGCAGCAAGCATATATAGTGTGTAGCTTAAGAATTAGTCGTAGTGTTGTTGTTTATGGAAAAGTCTAATTAACACCTAAAGTACTCAAGTACTGTATCGGTAAAGTATTAATAAGCTTAAGGTCGGTCTACTTGGCCGGCCCCGCCCTAATGGTATCCGGAAGTACAAACAAATATTCAGAACAACCCTTTTAAATGGCTTTTGTAAGTTATTTTCCTGTGTAAAATACATCAAAGGTGGCATGGTATTGTTTATATATTAGCCCATTCTATTTTACGAGAAAATTCCCTATGTACCTATGAGTTTCCGTTGAATCTCTTCTATCTCTAAATTTTGCCTCATCCTCTAAATGCCCTTAGGCTCTTGAGTTTTTTTTATCCCCTCTATATCCACGAAGTTAGTTCAATGTGAGTTGACCGTTAGATTTTTTTTTCTAAAAATGACTATATTGTCATTTGTACTTTATACTAGCTACATTAAAAAAATATAAATCTCATTATGAAAAAACCTTGCTCTATAATAAAATAAAAAAGGGATATAATTATTCGACAATGGATTTTAAAACCAAAATTAGATTTTCAAACTTTCTAAAAAGTTGATGAAATACATATAAAGGTTTCATTGGGAAATTTAAAAAATCATAACTATTTTATAGGGTTTTAAATTTCAGCAAAAAAATTGAAAAAAAATCCATTGGATTTGGTTTGAAACTTAATTAAACATTAAAAACTTTAGTTTTCAAATTTATGATAAATTAATTGTGTCCCGTTTGTATTTTTACAAATGAATCAACTTTTAAATTGAGGGCCATGTTTTTTAAAAGAAAAATCAACTACGACTTAAGTAAGAGACCAGGATAATTTAGACTTTTTAAAAATCTAATGGTCAACTAACAATTAAATTGATGGAATGGGCATAGACAAGATCAAAATAAAAAAACTCAAGAATATATAATGGATGAGGTTAAATTCAGAGATATACGAAGGATTAGAGAAAAATTTGTGGGCACGTAAGGAATTTTCTATTTTATATAACCAACAACGATCTTATGCATCTTAAAAACCAGTTAAAAACCTCTGAAATGGTTTTGTGAATGGTTTATTTGCAATGTGTACCATGACAGGTGATATGGCATAGCATGCGATAGACATATATATTAGCCCATATCACATAAGCATGTCTAAATATTCTCTCTCTCTCTCTCTATGATCGGTGAGCCAATGAACCACTTGCAAGATCCAAATCATCCCCTAAGCTGGAAATTATTTAACCGAATCCAAACGTCAAGCCATTGCGGACGCACAATACCGCTGAAGGGCTTACACAATACGAAGATGGGTACTTCCTCCGTTCTAAAATAAGTTAAACTAGTATCATATATTTAGATTCGTTATATTAGAATGTGTCACATCTAATACTAAATTAACTTATTATGAGATGGAGGGATTACCTGAATCCATGCTTTGAGAGTGAAATAAACCCCCACAGAACATCAATGGATTAAAATACAATTTTTCCCATACTATTAGTATACGTAGTACATAATAAAACTCTTCCATCATCTATCATCATCTATCAGTCATTGCGTTGTGTGTCATCTTATCCTCTCCACCAGTCCAGCCGGCCTTTTGTCCATAGAGAGTATGAATAACCAAAGTACTAATATATTTGTCAGCATGCAGCAGCAGATACCGGCAAAAGTGCCTGTCCCTGCGACCACTGACTACCACTCCCCGTTTGAACTCGAGTTCGTGGTAGTAGTGTGTACTCCAGCAAGCAGTAAGCTTGTCCTGGCATCGCCTGGTGGGGCTCGAGACACGCACACACACATTAGTTTAGTTGCTGAGCCCCCCTCTCCTGCTTGTTCTCTGCATTTGGCACTGGGAGCGCAGCATCCGCTTAACTTTGGGAGTTGGCATCGCTAGCTTTGACCATGACCGGCTACTTGGCTACCAGTGGAGAGTGATGACTGATGTGCACGATGAGTGTGATGAGAGGCTAAGCTCGTCACACCAATTATTGCTGAATTTTCTCCAATCTCTCTGCTCCCCTGACGAAGCAGCTGCCCCTGAAATGGACAATAAAAGATGTTGCTAACTGGCGGCCAGCTGCCCCCCCCCCCCCCCCCGACCCACGGCCTTTTTTTTCTCTCTTTTATCGCGATTTTTTTTTCGGTTTTTTTTTTGCGATTTTTTTTTGTTTTTTTCTGATTACTTTTTTAATCTTTAGCACACTTATTTTTAAAAAAATATTTTGAGTTGAAAGTTTTTAAATCTTAACTTAAAAATTTTTAAATCTGATTTGAAAGTATTCAAATCTCGAGTTGAAAGTTTTCAAATCTCGAGTTGAAAGATTTTAAATCTGAGTCAAAAGTTTTCATATTTCAAATCTTAACTATAAATTTTTCAAATCTATACTTGAAAGTTTTCAAATCTCGAGTTAAAAGTTTTTTAATCCGATTTGAAAGTTTTCAAATCTCGAGTTGAAAGTTTTCGAATTTGAGTTGAAAGATTTTGCATCTCGAGTTGAAAATTTTTAAATCTGAGTTGAAAGTTTTCAAATATGAGTTGAAAGTTTTCAAGTCGAAGTTGAAAGTTTTTTTCAAATCGGAGTTGAAAGTTTTCAAGTCGGAGTTGAAAGTATTCAAATCTGAGTTGAAAGTTTACACATATATGGAAAAACCACCTATTGGGCCGTGTGGGCTGGCACGTGCGCGCCGCTGGCGCGTACGCGCTAATTAGGATTTCTGATAAAAGCCATCATATGGTGCTAAAGTAAGCTCTAGGAGGTCTTATAACCCATCGTTTCGTTTATACTTATGCTTTTAAACTAAAATTTAAATTTTGAAACCTAATTTGAAAAGTTGATTTTGCGTTTTTTTTCATCGTACTTTATTTTGTAACATTTGCTTTTAAATTAGTTTAAGGTAGACGGATACATATAAGCATTAGCAAAACGACGACGAGGGTATTGATCCGGTGGGGTTTAGACGTGCTAATTAAATTAAATTATGGGTGTAAAGTGGATTCCGGTGGCCGGACCATTATATCACGAATCTTGAGGCACATTGGACGGTGGCGAGGAGTGATGGTCATCACCCCTATGTAAGTAATTTAGGCCCATGCATGCATCAACAACGATCGTGCACACCACAAAAGGCGCCATGATCAAGCAAACCAAGGCATCTTCTCTCTCTCTCTCTCTCTCTCTCTTCGTTATCCCTCGAGCAGCTAACTTGAGCACGATCGAGAGGCCAAGCTAAGCAAATTTTGCATTACTACACTCCACAAGTTGTATATCAAACATACTTAAATAGAATCATATTTTCATTTGGTTAAACTTACTTGTTAGTACTAGTGGTCCTCACAAGTAATTTTGATACTTACTTTGAGAAAAAAGATTAGAATGTATAATTAATGAGGGTAGCAATGTAATTTACCTCACTTCCTAATTTAGTGTGAGATCTACTAAAAACGACACAAGTAAATTGAAACTTAGTTGACCTGTTTGGGAAATTCAACTAGTTCTCTTCAAGACATGGCTAGCACAGATTTAACAACGGGACCGTGATTCGATAAAATGCCAACCTCAAACTCATGCTACTCGTCGTGTTGCCATTTTCTCATTTTTGCTAATTCTCAAAATCTTTTTGCCTCTTCTTTGTGGTGATCAGACGAAAACTCCCTTTGACTGATGAAGGTGAGACCGGTGTGTGTGGGCTCGGGCGGCGCCAAAACCTCCCACAACGCCGCCGCCTCCTCCTGCCCCTTCACCAGTGCTAGCAACACTGCCCCCTTCTCTTCCTTGTCGGCGACGGTGGTGGTTCTTGCTGGGGAGATGGTGAAGGAGCTATTTGTGCGTGTATTTTGTAGGTCGACGGTGGAGCGATTGCGGCAGAACGTGGAGCTGTTGTTGCCGCTGGTGCTGCTGCAAGGAGGAGGAGGAGGAGGTGGGGTGGTGCCCAGCTAAGGGAGGCGTTGGATCCACACGCCCGCCCATGTGTTCGATGTCGACTCCGCATCGAACTGACGCTCGCATCGGCTGCCTCGAACACTGTGTTAGGATGTCGTCGTGACGACAGCCTTAATTTGTGGCTATAACACAGACCTCCCTACCCCCGTCCACCATGTCCCTCCCCTTCGTACTCCCACCGTGCCGCCGTCGAAGACCATGGGAATGGGGATTGAACCGTCACCATCCAAGGGCATGGCGTTGGGGATGGAGGTGGAGTTTGTGGAGGAAGAGGAGGACGGCGTGGTGGGTGGCGGCGTCAGGGTGGGGAAAGATAAGGTGAAGGAGATGGTAATGAGCGGCAGCAGCGACGGGTGGGAGGCCGTCGGATCTACAGCATGGGCGGCAGCGGTGAGACCGATTGTAGGGGTATTTTCGTTTGATCATCTCGCGGCTGAGCGAAAAAACATTTAGAAAATCACTAAAACCATAAAAATGACAATCCGGCGAGTAGCACATGCTCAAGATTGGCACAATCACGTTTTGAGGATGACATAATAGCGAAACTCAGTTTTGAAGATGGCTAAATGTCCTTTTTTTTTTCCTCCGTGTTGTTGGGTTTATTAGCAATCGTGCAATGGAATTTAAATGTTATGTTTGGGAGCGGAAATCATTTTTTAATACCTAAACACCCAATATTAATTAGATTTGCATGCCATGCTAAAAAAAATATTCTAGATTCGTCACTGAGACACAATATTTATAATATAAACATTTGTACAGTGTTGCTAGAGAAATAGAGACATGTATCGTGAAAAAGAGACAGGAGATGCAAGACAATATTGTTCTTGTTAAAGAAAATAACATGGTGAAGCAGAGGAAGTACTATCAGACTACTACCAGTAGCTATCTTGGTTAATTATCCATTTTATAGCCGGAATCGCAAGCCCATGGCACGCATATATCCTGGACATCGTGGCGTTTGCCAGCGAATGGCGTGGACAGTAGTAGCAGCAGCTAGCGGCGTCGGATGGTGCGATGCCGATGCGGCCGAGGAGGAGGAAGGCGCAAATCCACGACGACCACCGCTTTTTCCTCCCTCAGTGCGCGAGATGCGGATACTCCACCCCCCCCCCCCCCCCCCCAATCCTTTTGACTAATCCTCCCGTGCAACGCGCACACACGCATCACATCACCAAGTATACTCCAATAATTATCATAATCGGATGGATTATGAGTAATACTCCCTCCGTTTCAAAATATTTGACACCGTTAACTTTTTAGCACATATTTGACCGTTCGTCTTATTAAAAAAATTTTGAAATATGTAAAACTATATGTGTACATGAAAGTATATTTAACAATGAATCAAATGATATGAAAAGAATAAATAATTACTTAAATTTTTTGAATAAGACGAATGATCAAACACGTACTTAAAAAGTCAACGGTGTCAAACATTTCAAAACGTGGGAAGTATAAATATATAAATCGATCGGTCTAACTCGAAAGAAAAAGCTCTCGCAATCACACGTTAAGCTTTTCTTTTCCTGTTTCCTGCAAATGATGGGCCAATCCTAAAACGCCACGGCCCTCACAGCTGCTGCCGCAGCTGTTACTAGTACTGATGATGCTGCTGCCAATCCCTACAGTTTTTGACTCGTGTATCTCTCACACCCACAAGACTGCAGTGCAGCGCCTCTGCCTCTGATAACTTCATCACAGCCAGAGGAGAAAACGAGCAGAGAGAGAGCCCCGGTCCAACTTACTAGTCCAACCGCACTACTAGTAATGATCTGAAAGTTCTGAACTTTACTCCAGTAGAGCGCTGTGCGACTGTACTGTGTACGTACTCTTGCAGCACGTACCGGTGGTGGTCGTCCTCGCCAATCCGGTCAAAAGATGGGGTCGCACGCATCGCATCGCATGCAACCTGCAGCGGCAGAAGCGCAGCATCTGCGTGCGTGCGTGCGTGTGATCCGGACGACGAGAGATGCAAATGCAACAACAACAATAATTCCACCACCACCGCAACCACAACACCAACAACATTCCATCCTGCAGAAGCCGTCGCGCAACCCACCCCCCTCCCTCCCTCCACCGGCCATTGTTTGCCTCGTACGCATGGTTCACCAACTGGAAAAGAAAAAAGAAAAAAAGAGAGAGAGTTCTGCACACGAGATGAGAGGAATGAGAGAATGCAATGGAGGAGAGGACGAGAATTGGTGCCTGTTTTTTTTCTTGGTTGATTTGAATGGAGATGAGTCCCACTAGTGCCAACTGATACATACATATACAAAATTGGAAATTTGATTGGAGAAGAGGAGGAGAAGAATCGAATCTCTTTTTTTTTTTTAGCTTTTCTTTTTTTTTTCTCCGTCGTCGATGCTTGGTTGCTACTACCGCCGCCGCTGCCGCCGGCCGCAATGGCGGTTGTTAGTATGGTTGGAGGAAGTCGTCGGAGTTGGCGATGGAGTCGGCGGCGGGCCACGCCGACCGGAGCAGCTTGAGCAGGTGCTGCGCCTTCCGCTTCGCCCGCTCCGAGCACCCGCCCTGCACCATGAGGAGGAGCTGGCTCATGGCGCCCGCGCGGACCGCCTCCACCTGGAGCGGCTCCGATCCGCCCACCACCGCCACCAGCGCCCCCGCCGCGTGCTCCGCTGACCGCCCGGACATGGCGCGCACCAGCGCGCACACCGCCGCCGCGCCTCCCCCGGCGCCCGCGACCACCGCGTCGCGCCCGCCCTCCGTCCGGCACAGCCGCTCCACCGCGGCCAGCGCGCGCTCCGGCTCCCCCGCGCCACCGCCTCCCTCCGCGACGCGACGCGCGAGCGCCGCCGCGGCACCGGCGGCGACGGCGCGGGGGCGGTTCTCCTTGGCGAGGCAGAGCGCGAACAGTCCACGGATCCCGACGCGGACGGCGCGCGCGTGGGCCTTCTCCTCGACCAGCGCGACGAGCCCCTCCATGACCCCCTCCGCCGCGCCCAGCACCGCCCTGGCGTCCGCGCCGGACACCGCCGCAACCGCCTCCACCACAGCCCCAGCATTAACCCTGCACTCCAGCGTCGCCGTCGTCGTCGCCGCCCCTTCCCCACTCACCAGCAGCTCCCCGAGCCTCGCCACCCTCTCCCTCCTCCCCACCACCTCCACAGCCTCAGCCTCACCCAACCCAACCATAGCAAGAACCGCCATCGCCTCGGCCTCGACCTCCTCCCCACCAGCGTTCGTCCCAAACGCCATGTCAACGAGCGCCGCCCGTGTCTCGTGGGTGGCCATGACGAGGCGGTTCTTGTCGGAGTCCCGGGCGAGCGCCCTGAGCTTGCGGAGCGGCGGGAGCGCGGGGCACTGGGCGAGGAGGGAGCGGATGAGGTCGGGGTCGGCTGGCTGCTTCGGGGTGGGGATGCGCTCGACGCCGAGGGAGCGGTGGGCGACGCACCAGTCCTGGATGAGGCGGCGGAGGGTGTGGTTGGGGATGAGGGTGAAGGCGCGGTCGAGCGGGGAGCGGGTGACGGGGCAGGTGGTGTTGCCGGTGGCCACCCACGACTCGATGCTGGCGCGGTCGTAGGTCTGGCCGGTGGACACCGTCACCGGGTCGCGCATCAGCTCCAGGGAGATGGGGCACCGGAAGTACCAGGGCACCTGCACCCCCGCCGTGTCCAGGCCCAGCGCCAGCGGCACGCTCCCCGGCATCCGATTCTCAGCTCAGCTTCGCGGAATCGCGGCGTGGGGTGGGTTGGTGGGTGGGTGGAGAGGAGGAGGAGGTGAGGAGTGGGAAGGTGGAAGGCGATGGAGACGAAGGGTATAAGTAGGCGGGGGAGCACGTGCGGGCAGTGAGTGAGCCTCCCTTCCTTCCCGTCGCTGCCTACGTGGGTCAGGGGGGGTTCGCCTTTGCGACGACTTGGTGTCGGAAGAAGGTACTGGCTGATGGTGGGCCGGGCGGGCTTCATCCGGCCCGCGCGCCCTGGGGCTACGGATGCGGACGTAACTGCCCATTTGGGGGTGAGAATGCCACGCGAGCCGGTCTTTGCGGGGCTCTTCATTGTAACCAAAATAAATTTTATTAAATTTTGTTAACGCTTAAAGTTTGGTAAGTTGGTAATATTGTCAATTTTTGACAGGATTTCTTATATATTTGCTAAAGTTTGTAAAAAGCTAAATATATACACATATTTGATAACTTTACCAAAAAGATATGCTTTGAAATGACATTAATTTAAACAGCCCCTGCGTTTGGAAAAGGTAAAGACCTGCACATATATAGCAAGGAAATAAGAGCATCTTCAAAAATGAGAACTAGTTTAAAATAGTATATTATTAACCGAATTATTGTGATGGATAAAACAATGCATATATAAGCAGGAAATAAGTGCCTCTCCAAAAATAAGACCTAGTTTAAAATAGTACATTTTTAACCAAATTATTGTAGTAGATAAAGTCCTTCTTATATAAGAGGGAAATAAGTGCATCTCCAAAAAATAAGGCCCTGTATATATAGAAGGGAATATGAGCATCTCAAAAAAAAGTAAGGCTTAGTTTAAAATAGTATATTATTAACCAATTTATTGTTGTGGATACACAACTATAAATAAAAATTAAATATTTAGATAAATATAGTTAACAAGTAGCTTATAATAGGTGATCTAACTAATAGAGTAGAAGAAAGAGAGTTGCACAACCATTACTAAGTTTAGCTAAATGTTTAATGATGACAGAGGGCATTAAGGACATTTATCTCTTTTCAAATAGAAGGACTAGTTTGGTCTAAAGCCAATTTTCGCCATACTATAATAGTGGTAGCACTAAAATCTTGACAAGTTTTGATATTACCAAATATGCTATAGTAGAACTTGTACTAGTGTTAGCAAAAATTGATATCAAACCAAACAATCATACTACACTATTGAAGTTGCTAAAAAATTGGTAGAGTGAAAATTGGACTCAATCCAAACAAACCCGTAAAACCCAAAGGTCTCATTTGCATGCAGGTCCAGCTGACCAGCTCTAATTAATGGGTTGCCTTCACAAATTTACAGGCTAAACTCTCTTTCAAACCATCTCTCCCTCTTGCACTGACCTCCTGTTGTCTCCAAGGAATAGAGTAACCCTCTAGCTAGCTGTATGCGGGCAAATCATTTTTTATGTTCTTCTTCTCTTCATCCTTTTGATCTTTGTGCTCCTTCGATGAGCGAGACAACTAGCAATTCAGTGTTGATTCACCTCTATCCCCTCTTCTAGTTGATCTATTTTGTGTTGATTCACCTCTATCCTCTCTTCTAGTTGATCTATTCAGTGATGAAGACCACGATGGAGCCTAAATCTAACAAATAGAGTGGAGGAAGAAGTTTGATCTCGACTAGTAGGCTTCTTTTGTATTTTTTTTGACGATTTGTTCCAATATATTTTTAAGACTTTGTATGACTTGTTGAATTCATTTTTTTCATAATTTGTATGACTTGTTGATTTGTTTTGACGTTGCACTAACTATTTATAAGAATGTTGAAGTGGTTGATTTTCAGGTGTGCGAGATTATTTTTTCCAATATTATTGGAATCATTGTTTCAACATATGTTTGAGATAGTAGATGCAAATGTTGCATTAGATATTGAATGATACATGTTGAGATTCTACTGTATATTTTTTTTGAAACGTAAGCCAGCTTTTGCTGGTTTTATAATTAGAGAGAGAAACTGTACAAAGAAGAGAAATGACCCATTTTATATGGAAAACCAGGCCCGAAAACCATACAGCTGCACGATTAATTACGGGGAATGAAACCCACTAGGCAGAAGAAAGCATGGGACCTAACTATAACAACAACGGCGGAGCCCAAATGCAGGACATTGTTGCCAAGCTAAACATAAAAGTGACACAAACAACTCCGACATCACAGAAGAGGTGTTATCGTTGCCGAGCTAGCCGCCCAAGCAACCCAGCAACGCTGACTTTACCACCGCAGCGACATTGAAGCCACGAAAGTCGCCAAAGCGAAAGCAGCTCCGACATCCACAATGGACATCAGCCAAGCCACCAAAGAGCCACTTCCTTCACATGGCCAGCACCAACTTGTTGGAAGAGACTACAACATGCTATCGTTGCCAAGCGTCGCCGCACCCCAACAGCAAGCAACTCCGACTTCATCCGCAGAAACAACTGAAGAGTGTGTCGCCCATCACAAGAACGAAGCGGACCCAAAAAGCTTAGGCCTTGCCAAACACCAAGGAAAGAAAGCTTTTAAACCGAAGAGACTATCATAGGAACTTTTCCGAAGCGACGCCACCAAGGATATGTTATATGATTTGTCTGTATGTTACACATGTTGGATCAAATATTTAATGAAACATTTGACCGTCCAATAATACGATTCGGATCAGATGTCTAAGCCGCACAGTTACCTCCGCTCCAAAGCAAAGACACCAATTATCAATTTCTCATCATTAATTTATCTATCGACCTAATCACACATGCTTACAGAGTCACAGTCACACATATGTTTCAGTCGGTTTTGCCACGTCTTCTGCACCGAAAGTGTTCGATCCCCTCCCCTGATGTAGCACGATCAGAGCCCAGGAGCTTCATTCATTCAGCTAATAGCTAAATTACTAGTAATCCTGAATTCCTGCGCGCTTGCTGGCCCTACTACAGATCCTCCACAGTCCACTCCACTGTCAGCGTGGGACCCACTCCACTGTCGCACACACATCTGAACGTAGATTGCTCAAACAATTGTGACTACGCACCCCTATCGTTGTTCAGATAAAACTCGAAAAATTGTTGCCATCCCCTGCAGGTTTCTCTTGTGTCTGACAAGCTAGCTAGTAGGCTAGGGTCCAGCTAGAGTACGGAGTATAAGGTTTGTTATATAATACTCTATTCCTCTAAAAATATACTCCCTCTGTCCCAAAAATTTAAATATTTTTAGCACAGTGTCAAGTCAAACATTTTTAACTTTGACTATTAATAGCAGAAAAATAAAAAGAATCAATCATGTAAAATTGACGTTACTAGATTTATCATTAAACAAACTATCACAATATGCAACTCTTTTTATTTAAAACATCTTATTTTTTTAGATATTGTTGGTTAAAGTTTCATCTCGAAGACTGTGTCAAAGTAAAAAAAAATACTTATATTTTGGAACGGATGAAGTAATTATTTTTAACAGATTAATAGTAAAAAATTACTTAATTTGAGAAGGAGGTACCATAATATTAAGGTTGAGAAGAAAAGACTATAAATGAGGGGGTTGTTGAGAGTACGATAAAAAAATGAACAAGAAAAGGTTGATAGAGGAAGGAGTAATAAGGAATGCTTATATTCGTGTACATATTTTAAATTTTAGAAATACTACTGATATTTTGAAACGGAGAGTAGAGGAGTAGTTTTTCTTTCCTTTTTAACTAGGGAGAGGAGTAGCTGCCAACGTACATAGTCTAAAGTTTTTTCCAGCTAGCTTGCTGCACATATATACTAGTGCCGCTAGTGGTGCACACATGTGCGTGGTCACATGCGCGCGGGCTGTTCAGCTAGCTAGCTAGCTAGCACCTTCGATCAATCGATCTGGACAATATACTCAGTCCAGTGGTCGTTGTTGCATGCTTTGCTTTGGATCGGAGGCTTGGCCATAGCGATGGGGAACATGCAGGCAGATCAAGAGAAGCTAGGGGGAGTAGCTACAGCCCCTACGTGAGCCTACCGGCTTGGCTACTAGCGGTGGAGGCGTGTGGTGTGGAGGGCGCTGGCAGCTGTGTGGGATGCCTTCATTAATTTGATACTCCTAGTTTGCACTCCGAGGCCTTTCACGGTGCAAAGATACTGCTATGGGTATTTACAGTACGGTGATTTGTCGCTCTTGGGCCCACCAAATTGAAGACCGTGTGATCAAAGTTGGGTAGCCATTCTTTGGCTCGATCGAGGCTTGGTGTCGTGGGGAGAGAAGTCCGCGACGCGTTGTGGAGGGCGTTGCTTCGCTGTCTAGTTCCTCCTGGCACGATTTTGTTGCCAATCCTAAAATCGCCCTCGCCGCCTCGTGCGCGATTCTTCCCCTTCGCCAGCCCTCGCACTACCGTGTATATGCCGGCTATTTTCCCACCTCGCGCGCTCGCTCTCATGCCCTCTTGTGATTCCTCCCCCTTTCCTTGTCGGTTGTCTCCTCATCGTCAGTACCATCAGCGTCGGAATTGTCACCGAGTTGAGTAGTATGCACAGCCGCGCCCCTCACCATTGTTGTGGACCGTGGTACGATGGGTGTGAAACCCTAACCCAAAAATCATTAGCCCTTGATGTTCCAAGTTCTGTTTTTTTCCCCACTCTCATCATCTTGGTTCAAAACCTAGATTCGAACCTGGCAATGTAGCATCTTCGTTCATTTTTTACAAGATTCGAACCTGGCGGCTAGTTTATCTCAATCTTCCAGCCAACCATCTCCATTCCCTGCACATCTGGTGTTCCCCATACCATCTACAGCGTTCCCCCCTGCACGTAGCCGCCGACACCTCCAACTCCACCTCCGATGGCCCCAAGCACAGCTGGTGTGGCGGCACCGTTGAGCTCCAGATCTGCATGTTGGCATCGTGTCACGGCCTCCCCAACTGTCGCTGCTGATCCTAATCTTGTAAAATTTCAGTGGCAGTGGCATGGTCCTAATCTTGTAAAATTCCAGTGGCACGGCTACGAATAGACGAATTGTAATGACATTTTTCTGAATAGGTAAATTTTTAATGGCATGAATCCAATTAACCCTTGATTTTATATATTGGACCGAACAAACTGAATGATATACAGTCGCCG